CAAGACATTTTAGCTCAATCAGAGCCATCTCCGGGCCATTTCTCTCCATAGCAGCAACTCCAGATCCTGGGGAACAGGACTCGGTACACCCTTCCCTAGCCTGGAGCAGAAAGAACAGGGATTTATTTGAGCCTGAAAAAACAGCCCTAAGGTCTGTTAATGATTTACTTTGAGCTTTGGAGAGAGACGTGTGCCTCAGTAGAAAGTTGTGTTAGGTAACACGCCAGGCAAAGGTAAAGTAACATTTTTTTCCCCTACAGGAGATCCTGCAATACACGGGTATGAATTCATGCACATTCAGCTGCACGAGGTTCCTACAAAAAGCAACCTAGAGCCTTTTGTCACTCCACTCCCAAACAGTGATTTCCTGAGGACCTATCTGCTGCCTCACATCATTCCTACAGCCCTTGAGGGCCTTTAGGAAGGCCATCATTAAAGGGACGTGGACCTGACTGCTCACACATACAGCACGTGTGGCAGGACAGGAGCAAAGACACCAACTTCTGCTTCCTGATTACCTGCAGCTGCTTCTTGGATGAAGAAGGTGAAAAAAACCTCAACTAACTCCCTGCGTTGCTACGTTGACTTCAATGAACACACGGCAAAACAAAATCAACGGCTAGTGCTCACCCCTAAACCTCTGGTGGCAGAACCCACGTTTCTCTTCGGGAAAGGCTCCCCACTCGTGCCCGTGCCGAGAGCCAGCAAAGTACTGTCAACATGGCATTACACAGCGCAGGAGAGGGGTGCAGCCACTGCCCCGGGCGCTGCATCCTTAACACCCACGCACATCGCCCTTTTCTAGTATGTTTCTCAAGTCAGATGGGTTGACTTTCAGCATAAGAGACCCATTCTCAGCAAGAACACTTGCATATAACCTGCTGGAGGACATCACCACTCTGCTGCCACACAAGTCCCCGGATTCTGGAAAGAGGCAATGCCAACCCAGCACCAGCCAACACAGAACAGCTCTAAGGGATTTTTTTTTTTTGGTAATTTTTTTCTTCCTTTTCTCTTGTAGGTTAGAGTTCTGCTCTGCACATAGCTGCACTGGGCCAGACCCTAAAACAGCAGGGCTCTGCATCTTGGCTGCCTCATTACCTGCAGGGAAAGGGCTGCAGACACAGTAATTAAAGAGGCAAGGGGATAACTTTTTTCATAGAAATGGAGCAAAACTAATAAGCTCAAAGGAGGAACATCACTGAAGCAGAAAGCTAGTAACGGCCCCTGCGACAGGAATACACCCTGTTTTTCCTACCACCTTTGTCACTTAGGCCTAAGGACCCTGTTTTCATAAGCAGACCGGAAGGTAAACAGGCTGCCTTAGCTGCTCCAAGTAGCATCTTTGTAAGCACTGTCTCAGATTGGGGAAGGGAAAAAAAAATTGGAGTTATTGCCAAACACATTCAAAGGAACTTCTGATTTCCAAGAGACACTACAGAAAAGCAGCTGAACCATTCTGACAACAGCAGCCCCCAGGATGCAGATGCCGGAAAGATTAAATAATTCAGTTTGCAGAGACTAGGGAGATGGGATTTGTACTCTGCAGAGGCAGATAAAAGACCGCGCTCAAAGCAGCTCTAGCCAGATTTCATATCCTTTCCCCCACTCCAACTGAGCTGGCAACAGGGATCCTGGACCAGTACAATGTACCCTAAATTGGGATGCATCTCCTATCTACAATCCTGTCCCATACAATTACATTCTTACGGGCATCACCAACTCCATCTGGCCAGGGAAGGCCGTGCTAGACCTAGGAACACCAGTGTGAGCCCCATGGCAATTTACAGTAAGTGGCACAGCTGAAACACAGACCACCTGAGCCAGCCGGCCGACACAGACAGGTTCAAACACTCTGGAAGCCTGCCTGCTCCAACAAGAGAGCGTCTCAGCACATTTCAAAGGTTGAGCAGCCAGCTGGCAAGCAAGAAAGGCAACTGCGCTCTGCAGTGCAGGAAGCTCAGTGACTTTCAGAAGACATGATAAGGAAAGGGCCTGGAGAGTCACACATGGTGCTCAGTTTCCATCAGCAGTGCCAGCGCTGCAGTTCCAGTAAGAGGTATAAATAACAGCAGAGGAGAAGCCAAAACGGCCATTTACGCGTAGTGCAATGGTAGGGGGAAGGCAAGAGAACACCCCAGCCCCACATACAGCATGAACTCGCTCCTTAACCACCAGCCTGGGAGCCCATTCTGGCACAGAGCCCAAGCTGCCCCCAACACTTCCACCTCCACCCAAGGACAGCCAGGCATATTTGGGTTTCACACACCAGCCTCTGCGGTGAGGGAAGCACAGACTTTCCAGGTACCAGGGCAGAGCAAGTACAAGCCAAGTACCAGTGAACAACTGACAGCTGTTGTATACACATACTGGCAGACAAACAAACGTAACAGTCCTGGGCATCTGCAAAGAAGCTTGTTCAGAGAGTTCTCTGCCACTACAGATTTATGAGGCTGCAACTCACCAAAATCTGGGCATATTGGGTGGGGAAAGGAATCACACCGATACACTGGGGGTCCTAAGCTTCAGACCAGTCCCAGCACCCCAACAGCCCAGAGAGAGGAAAAGTTGGAAATTGCAGCAGCGTTGTAAGAAGCACGGGTTGGAACCTGGGAGCAGAAGGGACTGAGCCTGCTGGCAACAACCACCGATTTCTAAGTGAGAGGGAACAGGAAGGAGAAGATGGGGAGGCTGGGCAAGAAAGAAGAGTTGAATGCAGTTCCTATGATGCCATTCCAAGCAGAAATCCTCCAGCAAACCCTCCGGTCAGGATAACATTCTTCTTCAGAAACGCGATCACCTAAGCAGGAGAGAGAAGAGCCAACAGCGTTCAACAACAGCAGGTCACTCACACACCCTCCCCGTAATAAGGTACCTCTCAGGCTATTCCCTGAGCTGGGAAAGTGGCCACTGCTCCTCAGCTCCAGGCAAGGAGACTCCCTAATGACCTCTCTGCTCCCATCCCCACGTACGGCTCCTGCACAGCTACCATCCCAGCATAACCTGGACCCTGCGAGAACTGCCGCGCAGCCAGAGCCTATGCGCCCCTGCATCAGATACCCAGGGCTCTGCCACAATCAGTACACCATCAGTCTGACAGAAGGTCCGGTTGACTGCATGCATATGCCAGACCAGGACTCAGCAGAGCCCAGGGTGACCAGACCACACTGCTACCAGATCTGCTTATCTATGCTTGTCAGACTGAAGAGATTCTTCTTGAGCTACCCACAGTCTCAGCGAGTTTTCTTCCAACCTCAAGGAATTTGCCACAACATACAGTGAGCTGGCATCATGCCTAGAAGCCATCCTAGCTGTCTCAAATTCACCTGGGTAGCTTTGCTACCTCTCCTGTTCTGCTGTTATGCAAGCAGTCCCATGATGGAAGACCCCTAAGAGCCCAGGAGTTGATCTTGTTTCCTGCTGTCCCTCCAGCTGGGCACCTGCACATACCCTAGGAGAACTGACTCACCTCATCCACTTTGCTCTTCACTTCTGGAGACATTTTGTTACCACTGCTGTGAAATTTCAGCTGCTGCTTGGCTTTGTTCACGTCCCGTTCTACTAGCTTCCAGTCCACTTTGATGTATCCTGTGTGGTTTGCAATCTACCGTTTTGAGGGGTGGAAAGAAAGTTCCCAGAGTGAAATCCTGCACAACTATGGTTAAACAAAACCCCCTTTGCCAACCCACCCCTCCCCAAACCAAAGCCACCCCACACACTGGTTCAGTAGGCTGAGAAGAGATGAGATTGAGCACACAAGCTTAAGAGTTGGAAAAAGCACTGTCCCCATAGTTTATATTAACCGTTCTGGAACATCTGCCTGCCACAGTAATCCTCTAACAGACAGGCACACCATTACAGCTTAGCATGTTTCAGCCTCTTTTCTATAATGTAAAGCTGGCATCCCCTCCCCCTCAAAACCGCCACGTGTGTCGTTGGGACTCAGCTCTCCCGCTGCTGGGGGCGGACACAGTTATTAATAGGCTGTTCCTCCCCAAGTATTTTATCTGGTCAGGATGATTCAACAGTGAAACTCTCCCTGCTCAGGGCAAGCTTTTGGCTGTGAGCAGAACAAGTGGAACCAGAACAGCAGGGAGAACAAGCTGCACAAAACCTGGGAACCAAACAACGAAGGACTGCTGCACGAGGGCTATGAATTCTTCTGCCTCCTGCAGGACGTACAAGCTAGATTTCAGCATCCCAGATACTCCTTTCAGGCCCAGAGTTCTTAGAAACCAGAAGAAACATAGTTGGAGGAGATAGATTTCCGTTTCCCTCCTCTTCCCCAGTACTTTATAAAGATCTTCATCTGATCTAGCTCGACTCCTCAGGAAGCCAGCTTGAGGGGAGGCACGTTGCACACGTGGACAACTATCCCTTGACGTTAAGAGCTGTTTCTCCAGGGACTCCTCTCCACCAGCACAGAACTAACGACAGTAGCCAGCTCTGACACCAGTTCTGCAGCAGCAGTCCAGAGTTTGCCACAGCCTAACCTGCCTCCTGCTCCCAAGACAGCCACTGCACTCAGGTGCCTCCGGCCCAACTTCTGCTGGCCAGCCCTAAGCAAAAAGCACCTCTTGGCAATCCTCAAGTCTGTGCACGCTGTTCCTGCTTTGCTGCTGCTACAGAGGGAAGGAATTTATTCAGAGATCTGAACAAAGGCCTTGCCCCTTCCAAGACATCGTGAGCACACTGCCACTAAGCCAAAAACAGCTTCAAAGGCTTTACAGACTTGACTCAACTCTGGCTATCACAGGCTAAGGAGTACCACCGAGGTGATCTAACGTGCTTCTAAAATGTTCTTATGTAACTCTACAAATGGCACTTGCATACGTCTGTTTCTAATATGTCTTATACTGCCCACAGGAATGGGGAATTTATGTCATGAGAAACATATGCACATGACATCCACGGACACGCAGAGCCCCTGGCAGAATAGGGAGCTGACTCCATGTGTCCAAACAACAGGCAAGTTGCTGGGACATGTTGATTACTGAAATCACCCGTTGAATCACAATCACAGTTGTTAATTACTATAGTCACTAAACAACCCTTCCTCCCCATCACACACAGTTCTTGGAAAGCCTAGCACACTGTTTGTACACACCTGAAGTAGGAAAAAGCCACCTCCCACTGCTGTTGCCGCCAGCTTTCCAACTTTCTGGAAGATGAATCCAGTACACCTACAAATCAACCAGGATCCAGTCAGGAGAATGGGACACGAAACACACACTTCAGCATGCTTCCACAAACAGGACTGCTTTTGGCATTAATCGTGCAAGACTCGGAGACAGCCTGACTAGTGGGAGAAGAAGAAAGCCAAAAGAGAGCAGAGAAAAGGAGAATGGATTTGCGTCCAGTCAAATCTGATGCTTCATAACTTTTTACTTCTCACTATTACAGTTCAGCATTTCACAGATTTGATTCTTTTCCCTTCAAGAGCAAGGTTCTCCCAAAAGCATCATCAGAAACATTCAATTTCACTGGAATTAACTTTTTTTTTTTAAACGGGTATCAGCTCTGATAGGAGATTAAGGCAGCACATCTGCTGCTCGTCCGTGACAGAGCATTGGAAGCAGACCACAGGCTCGGTGACCTCAAACAACGTTTGCTTGCCTTTCCATTTCATTTCTCAGAAGAGAAATCGCTGAAATAAGACAGCAGGGGTCTGAGGCTACAGTGCTTCCAGCAGTGAGATACACTTTCAACAGGAAAAACATCACTGCAACCACCAGAACTCAAGGAAGCGCCACCCTTTGCTCGTTCATGCAGCTAAAGGCAAGCATATTATATCACCTCAAATAGACTTTATTGCGACCACAGTTTCCTTATCAACATTGCAAAACAACACAGCAACCTTCTCTCTTATCCGTTTCTGAATAGATGCACTTGGCTGCAACAAGAGAGAAGTCACCAGCTTGTATTTTTATTAGAAAATGTACAGGGTATGTCATTCTCTTTTAAATGGTTACTCCTGTATCAGAAGAGGGATGCGCTAGCAAAGCAGTGCAGTTACACTAAGCTTTCAAGTCAACCAGTGTTACTGTGGGAATGAAGTTGCAAGCAGAGCCGCAAGCCACCAGCTCCCAACACTTCCTCCACGTAGCATGATCCCAAGGAACCATGCGTACGAACGCCAGTGCGTGAGATGCAGCAAGGCACCTCCACAGGAGGTTTTTTGGGCACAGATTCCCAAAGCACATCCACAGCCCAAGGGAGGAAGCAATCCTTGTTCTAAGGGACACATCTGTCTGTCCTAAAACTCAATTCCAGCACGTTATGCCAGAAGTTGGGGAGAACGACCTCACCTCAAAAATCTAAGCCTGCTGCTGCTTTCCCCTGCTCCTCAAGGGACCGTCTCAGTTCTTCAGCTCCAAATTAAATCACCACCCCGCTCCTGCCAGGACGTCCCCCAAAACCCACATAGCACCTGCGCACATCCTCCCTGCCAAGGGCAGCAAAGGCAGCCCCAGCACCTCTTACCATCCCGTGACCCCTCCGATCACCAGCTGCGTGGCCACGTTGTATTTCTCCGCGCTCGACCCCGAGCTGGGAGCGAAAACCTTGCGCCACCAGGGCCGGTTCTTGGTGTACTCCGTCAGGTCCAGCACGCTGTAGGAGTCCTCCTTCTTCCCTGCGGGCACCCAGAGAGGCTCAGTGCTGGGCTGCGCTGCCTGGTGCCCTCAGACCCGCTCAGGACCTAGGGACCCTCCAGAGGCCCTTGGATGTCCCCCCTCCCCCAAAAGCCTAAGGATCCACCAAAGTCCTTGAACCCCTCCCGAGGCCTAGGGAGGCCCTGAATCCCCTCAAACACCCCCCCCCAGTGCCTAAGGACCCT